AGATCCTTAGTAATATATTTCTTTAAAGAAAATCTCTCCCTAAACAATTAAATCAACATTTTAATATCGCAAGGACTTTTGCTTAACCACAGAAACTGTGCTGTTAAAATCAGGTTTCAACGGTCAATGGGAACTTTCAGTTGTCAACGGTAACTTTATTGTCCCCAATGGGAAATTGATTTGCAGTCTGTCCATACACAGAGAGACAAAAACAAGCAAAAAACACCCCAAAAAGGTTTAATGGAGTTTCATTTAAAGATACTGCTAGGCAACAAATATAAAACAATATTTTTTCAGTATTTGTTAAGGGTACTGAAGGTGATGTCATTATTTGAAGTATTGAAAAGATCCATATGTAAAAGTTTTTGGGGAATTGTGAGATGATATGATAAATTAAAGTGAATGCAGAACTTACTTTGACACTTTTACGCCAAACACCGCTGTCAAACCCTTCTTGCTACTATTTTCTCACTCAAAACTCTTTTAAAAATATTTGTGGTGTTAATTGTTTTGAAATAACTTTTGGATTATATTAAAAAAAAAAAACCTTGACAGTAAAATCTGAAAGTCCAGGGCAGCACACTGACACACATCCTTACCTTTGAAAGGGCAAATCATCCTCCCTCTGCTCCTGTAAGCCCTCTAGAACATACCGATAAGCCTCAAAGTAGGCAGTGGTCTCGACCATCAGAAACACTCGATCTTTCTGTGATTTAAAAAAAACACATTTTGTTCTTTGTATTTCTGTTTCAAATGACCACAGATATTTCTTACATTTATGCAAAGAAACTGAATGCATCATGCCCATTTTAACATATGGTGCAAACAATGTATTACTCTACCTCAATTCTTGCCAGCTTTAACCTGCTCTCCTCTGTAAATGTAATCTGGACCTGTCCTTCCTGCAGATGTTCAGGGTCTCGATCTGACACTGTGGCAAACAGGAAGCTCTCGAAGTTATCACTTGACAGGCATACCAGGGAGCCATAAAGCAATCTCTTGGAGTTCTGCCAGCGTACAAACTGTGGGTAAAATGGACAACCTGTTAGTAATATACATGTTTATATATGTCTTTACATTTGCCAGTTAAATAGTGAATGACCAGTGTATGTATTAACACATCAGTGACACAGAATATACTTTACTGCATCATTCAAATGCCATTTTACAAAGACATCAACAACCAGAAGCTAACCTTAAGTGGCTGTGCGTCAAACTGGACAATGTAGGCAATGCCAGTGTGTGTGCATTTGGGCACCACTAGCTGTGTGTCAAAATATATTCTGATATCATCAAAGCGCTTTGTCTTTAGTGGGCTGTTGGTCCTTCCGATATCTTTTTGGTTCTGGAGCAATTGCTGAATCCCCTCACGCAGTGGTCGCACAAAGTCCTCTCTGAGCAGCCGGAAGTGTGTATCAAGGTAGAGGTGGGTGTTTGTGTAGCTCTGGGAGGTAATGTTAGGTCTAAGGAAAGGCCTATGCTCCTGTCGGAACTCCTGTGGAGTTGGGTAGATTGGTATGGTCCTGAAATCCTGTTGATCTTCTTCATCTAGGTTAGAAATGTGGAAGTATTAATAACTGTCCGATCTATACTAACATTTCAAAACCTTACAAAAAGATTTTTTTTTCTGGCCAACTGCATGGTATTTGCTTCAGGACAGTCTATCCAAATATGTGAAAACAAAGTGATTCAGTAGAAATATCTCCAAGAGCCAGTTACCTGGGTTACCACCACCAGAGGGCAGGAATGCATATGTGTCTCTGTCTGAGCGCAGGGTACCCTCTCTTGCTCTATTCTGGAGGTGTGTGATCAGGTCCTGAAGTTGCTCCACACTTTCCTCAATTTGAGGCTGAAAGTCCACACCTGATGCCCTCAGGCTGTTAATGGAGGCTTGGAGCAGTGTCAGTAACAAACTCACTGTATGAACCGAACTAGCAGGGAAGATGTTAAGCACCTAATAAACATAACAAGGAAAAAAGAATTTAGCTACTTTAAAACTGTTAATAAAAAGCACAGGAAATAAAAACAGAAATGCCTAAATAAGGTTTGTTTACATCTATGTAATCTGATTTTCTCAATAACTGTATCTTTCATTATGCCTTTTTCTCTTTGCACACAGGAAAAATAAAAATAAATGTGATTTATATATTACACTATCATTCCCACTGCACTGTATGTACATATAAAAAAATCTCACTGGTCTGTATTTTAGTGTATGAAGTACATTACAGTATACACACTGTTTGTACATAGTAAAATTACCCTTGTACTTTATTGCTTCATCTATTGAGCAATGTCCTCATATGTTTTTCAGATATAAAATCAATTATCCTTCAGCTGAATTTCCTATGTTTTGTCAAGTTTTCTATGTTTCATCAGTTTATTTACCTGTGAGAGAATCACCAGGATATTTTCCAGATGCTGTGGGTATTGTGCTCTGCGAGCAGGTTTGCTATCTGACACCATCCCCACAAGATAGTGGGGTAGAGAGGTGCAGAAGAACCCTGAATCTTTTATAATGCCAGCCAGGTGCTGCTGAGTGCCTCTGTCTGTCCTTGATTTAAAGGCTTTACTCAGCACCAAGCAAATGAGTTCAATAAGATCCTGCCTTATTTTGGTCTCACTGAGGAGATCTTTCACAGAAGGATGTGAGGACATGGTAATGGCCACTACAGATGGGTCTTTTAGAGAGAGTTCTTCCAGCGCTTTAAAGCCCAGTCCTCGGCCCTGTGGTGGCCTAGCTGTGCTGGCAGAATTTGATCTCCTTCCATTTCTATCTTGCCTGTCTCCCTCAACATCTCTTCTTTCACCCCTCCAACCTTCTCTTCTGTCTCCACGTTCTTCTCTCCCTGCCATCCCTATTCTTGCTCCTTGTCTAACAACTGGACCTGCTTCTGGGTTTCTTCCTACTTCTGATCTCCATCTCGCTGCACCTTCCCATTCATTTCTATCTCTTCCAGCACCTCTTTGTCTGCCTCCCCTTTCTGTATTGCGGCCCACCTCTGTTGCTCCTCTTCTTCTACCTCTCTCTGCACCTCCTCCTGCTCCACCACCTCTTCCCCTTCCTCTCCCACGCAGCTCTTCACTATCTCTTTTCCTTTCCTCCCTTTCACCTTGACTACTCCCATGACTTTGTGCTCTTTTTCTGTCTCCTTGTGCTCCCCTTTGTCTTCTCCTTCCACCTCGACGAGCATTCTCACTTTGGACAGTATCAGTATCTAGGGGAAAAATAACATTTATGTAATGAGACTAAAGTAACAAATTTTAGTTGCCAGATTTTCTCAGTTTGTTATGTGACTGCTATCACATACTGTATAATTACCATTATTAGGTCCGCTTCTCCCAGTCATTAACATCAAGCTTTCCATGGTTGTGCATGTGGTAGATGATGAAGTTAAGACCAGTAACACTGATGATTTAATAGTGAGAGGAAGGAGAAGAACTACATTTAAACACAATGCAACAATACAATGATTTAGAAATTTTGCCACGAGTCTATTAAAATAGAAAACACAACACAGCACTGATTGAGGAACAGTGATTACTTTCACTCTCTATCACTGGGTCATAACTTGTAGTGAGTCAGCCTCAGATAGAAAGGATGTTCTCATTGATTACATCAGTAAAATCTGGGGGGATCAAAGCTAATAGAGTTCATGGATGAATGGATATATATGTGTGTGTGTGTGTGTGTGTGTGTGTGTGTGTGCGTGTGTGTGTGTGTGCGTGCAACACGCGCGCGCGTGTTTTGCGACTATATTTCAATGTCCATCGTTGTAGGTTTGTTGGTGTGCGCTATAAACGAAACGTGCCATATTTGTTTTATTCTAATGTTGTCCATTGCACTGAATTCGTATGAAATGCAAATTCTTCCCTCTGCAGGATATTGCCCGACAGGTTTCCTTTTTCAAGAAATGATTCAGAGGTTTACACCGCAAGTCTTAGTCACGGATGTGGCAATAATAACACTCCACAGGCTGGCTGCCCTCCAAACAAGCTATACCATTCATATTGCCTTTTATGTGTCTGTCTGTCTGTCTGTCTGTCAATGACTTTACATGTCGTGTGCTATATGACTTGCAATTTTAGCTATCAGTTCGCATCACTGTTCTCAGTGTACACGCTATTATTATTTACTAAATAAGAAAATACAATAAGACAAATAACTCTGTATCCTAAACACTTCCTAGATAAGCGATAGCCTAAGAAAAGAACGAACTTACCAAGCGTGACATCCGACCAACATGAATATTTTCCTGGTCAAACTTTGTCTAGCCGTCTCTCATTCGGTCTGTGCGCAAGCTCATCGCAGCCTCTTCTCCGGCTGTCGACTTCAGCAACCTGCTATTTAAGTGCTTTGTCATTTTCGTTTTCGTTTCTCCAGAACTAACACCCCACCTAGAAGACAGAATGGATTTGTCCTTTTATCCTTGACTAAAGATAGAGCGAGCATTAAATTAATTGAAAAGCATGACTATCTTGGACCACGTAAAATTTAGGTTTATTTTAATGTGATATTGGACACACATGTTATTATTTTTAAATAAATGAAACAGGAAGCACTGTATTGCATAACTATGGAAGTCTAGCCTAGTTAACAGTAATAACATCCTAAGTAATAAGTAGCTAGAATAGACTGCGGGTTTTTATAGCGTTGTATTTTTTTCATCTTTGATCACATTTAATTCTTATATTTGTTATAAACGCATCCCATTCCAAATTAGGCCTGCTTAAGTTTATCATTTACTTAAAAAGATTTTAGACAGCACCACAATCTCTCAGAATTGTTTATAATTTTTATTATTATCATTATAAATTGGTTGTTAAGTCATAATTTTATATCAAGGAAAATACTGTTCCACACAGTTTGCAGACAGTTCTAGTTTATGTATTATATAAACCCGGTAGATAAGTATTGCCTGGTGTTGTTTTTTTTTGTTAGTGTTTTCCTGTTTCTAAAGTTTCGTTTCTTTACAGTAAAAATTGGGTCGACCCTACCCCTCCTCCTCCTCTTCCTGCTTTTCTTTCCTGCTACGTCATCACTCCGTATGAGCGGCTAGGCTAACTGTATCAGCTGTATACTTGGTTGCTTCCGCCAATGTAAACATGTAGCCGGTTTTTCGATTTAATCCAAGTGCTGGTAGGCGGTTGTTAACCTGTTTGTCAGTGGTCCCAGCAATGATGGCTGTGTTCCTAAAAATAGCCGCTATGGAACCAGGGCAGTGTAGCGCGAGCTTAGTAAATAGCTAACACTGAATAGCTAGTTATCTACCAGGCCGTGTTTTCATGGGGCTAGCATTGGTAATTAAACAGTTTTCATTGACAGCCACGCAAGGCTAAAGCGGAGTTAGCAAAAACTAGGGAGAATGGAAAGTAGTGCTATCTAACGAGGACGCATCAAGACGTACAGACACCATGAAGAAGTCTAGAAATGTTGGAACATCGTCGCCAGTGAATGGAAAGCAAGGTAACGGTCGCTAACTGTGTCATGTCAACTGTTTGAGTACACTTCGGGGCGCTTTGCTAACAAATAAATAAACAAATGTGGGAGCATAGCTTCTAACAGTGAAACGATGTTGTCTGTTCCAGACTGGGACACCAGACGGAAGAGGAAAATAGCGGATATCACACAGGCACTGAGTGTGAGTCCAGTGGACGTAGCAGCTCTGAGGAGGATGGCTATCAGTGAAGGAGGACTGCTGACCGATGAGATACGGTGCCAGGTCTGGCCTAAGCTCCTCAACGTCCCCCTTGATGTCTTGAACCAAGAGCCAGGTATTATAATTGTTGACGATATGCAGTTGCGCGTCTCGCACCTCCAAATACAAAGGCTAGCAGTCAATGCATCATACAGTAATTGCTGGTGGCAACATTTTCATTTTTTCAGACACTGTAGACCGAGAAAATAACAAAGACTACAACCAGGTGTTGCTGGATGTCCAGCGTTCACTACGGAGGTTCCCACCTGGTGAGTGACCAATCCATGGCCAATTGTGTCTACATACACACACTGTAGACATGATATAGAGTGACTGTGTCATCATTTCTAATACAACTATAAATTCCTCCAGTTTCTTAACTGCTTTCCCAATTCATGGCTTGGGGGGGCTGAAGCATATCCCAGATGTTATGGGAAAACTGAACTGGGTTGGCAAATTCTACTTGCAAATCTTGTATATTTTTAACCTTTGCTGACATGGGCACAGGGTCACCATCGTTCTTTATATATTATTGGCCTTGTAGTGGGTTATGGTATAATTGGCTAGAAGTTTTGTTGAGAAATGTTTTAATGTTTTGCCCATGCATTGTTGACAAAACACTGTTTCTTCCATTGTAACCTTTTAAATTCGGTAGTTATCCACCTGAAAAATAATCTGCATTTAATATTGTAATTATCAATGCAATATGAAAATGGCTTTGCTGCTACTAGCTGATATAGTGGCCTTTGCTGGTAGCCACTTGGCTTCGTTGTAGCTATATCTATTGCTCTCCACTGCAGGAATCTGTCGTGGTATTTTCTGTAAAAAAGAATGTCTGCAACATGGTCAGAGCTGTGGTCAAGCTATTTTAATACTGGATGAAGGAGAGCCAACACACATCACAGTTCACAGTCATTCCAGCTCTGACCTTGGGACATCTCAGCTCCTCTTTTATACCTTCACACACAACTCTGTGTATCTTTTAGTTACAGCAGGTTTCTGTCCCACGGGATGTTACTGGGGAGAGGGCAACTCCCACTATCTTTTCCCAGGAAGCTCCTGGCACTGGTCAGCTAGGGAGTTTCATCCTTCTACACCCCAACAGTTAGCAGATAACATAGTGAAACATTGTTAAGCAAAGCAGTTTTTCACCATGTCATCCTGACACATATACTTCGGCTAAGCCTACAAAGGCTATACAAAAATCATACAGTGAAATTCTAACCACCTACATCTAAATGTAATAATAATAATGGATTGCATTTATATAGCGCTTTTCTGGGCATCCAAAACTCCTTACAATTCCACTATTCATTCACTCTCATTCACACACTGGTGGAGGCAAGCTACAGTTGTAGCTAGCCACAGCTGCCCTGGGGCAGACTGACAGAAGCGAGGCTGCCATATCGCGCCATCACCCCTCTGGTCATCACCAGTAGGCGATAGGTGAAGTGTCTTGCCCAAGGACACAACGACCGAGACTGTCCGAGCCGGGGCTCGAACCGGCAACCTTCTGATTACAAGACGAACTGCCAACTCTTGAGCCACGATCGCCCCAATAAATGTGAGGGTTAACTAGATTTTTCCCATTACAAATCCAATTCTCAAACCAAGACAATTGAGAATTCATAGGATATACTCAAACGACATGCACTGAAATTGCTTTTCCATCTTTTTCAGCTAAATAAACTTTAGTTGAAAGAGCTACTATGGTGGTTAGCCTAACTCCAAATTTGAATTACATAGTTATTCTTTTTTTAGTTGTGGAGACATTTTGAATGCCAATGTAAGCTAACAGCTGTATTTTATTTGGAAAAATGCTGAATGGGCTGGTCTATTTAATTTTGAGCACTCAATGCACTTTCGATTCATATAGCGCTATTTTGGCTATGCATGCATAGGTATGCCAGATGAGCAGAGAGAGGGTCTCCAGGAAGAGTTAATCGACATCATCCTCAGAGTTCTGCAACGTAATCCCCAGCTGCACTACTACCAAGGATACCATGACATTGTCGTGACCTTTTTATTAGTTGTGGGAGAGCATCTTGCAACTGCTCTAGTGGAAAAGCTCTCCACACATCACCTCAGGTACTTATCACAGACACAAATGAATCTACAGCAGGTTATTTTCTCTGCTACTTAATCTTCCACTTTTTTTTGTATGCACAGTCTGTCCTTATTGCTTTATGCTTCAATAAAAAAATCATACTGTGAGGTATTAAAAAAAATGCTGTCTGTCTTATTCTCTTTCTCAGGGACTTCATGGATCCCACTATGGACAACACAAAACACATTCTTAACTATCTGATGCCCATCATTGAAAGGGTCAACCCTGAGGTGCATGACTTCATGCAACAGTAAGATTCACTCCTATTCTAGTGAAAGTAGGCCAAATGGGTTTTGTTCTGCATTAGGATACAAGAGGATGTTAAACCTTGCATTTTTATTTTTTAGTGTGTTAAATGACAAGCCTGAGATTGCATACCCAACTTTTAATATTAGCTTCTTAAATTTACAGTAAAGAATTGTGCATGCAATAGTAATTTTTTTCCTTTAGACAGAAAATCTTTTAGCGTCTGTTGTAATGACAGTACATCATCATACTAATGATGATCATTAGTATGACCCTTTACTACTTTGGCATATCTACAGCGGTGTCTCATCACTTGTCATTTTAAGGGCTGAGGTGGGTACAGTCTTTGCTCTCAGTTGGCTCATCACATGGTTTGGCCATGTCCTGTCAGACTTCCGCCATGTTGTCCGGTTGTATGACTTCTTCCTGGCCTGCCATCCATTGATGCCCATCTACTTTGCTGCTGTGGTGAGTTTCCTGTTTCCTGGTTTGTCTCTAAGAGACACTCCCCAAACATCAAGTTACTTTAACACTACATGAATTACATATTCTAAATCAGTGTAAGAATAAACCATTTATATAATCTCCATTTGTGCATATGGAAAGCTCATATTTTTTCACTGTGCAAAGGCCATTGTGACAGCTGAAGATATGGATAATGTTGTATTCATGAGGGTTGTGGAAACCAATTTGGTAATGGTTGAGCATTTATTGACATTATATGTGGCTAATCAATCAATCCCTTTATTAGTATTATTATTATTAGATCAATGCAGTGATGTCAGATCAGTTCTTCTTTTTAAGTTGCCCCTATTTAGTTTAATTTAGTCGGGTGTGTTATTTTAAATGATTACATCTCTAATGGGAATGGCTTCTTATTTCTGTATGAATGTATCATTGTTTTCCTTGACAAATAGGCTGTTTACATCTCTATGTTTATATTGGTATGCAAATTGTATTTATGTTGTAGATCGTGCTGTACAGAGAGGAGGAGGTATTGGAGTGTGAATGTGATATGGCCATGGTTCATCACCTGCTATCCCAGATTCCCCAGGATCTACCCTATGAGACGCTCATCAGCCGAGCAGGAGACCTCTTTGTACAGTTTCCCCCCTCTGAATTGGCTAGAGAGGCTGCTTCACATGAAAGGTAAGTTCTTATAGTTATTTTAGTTGTATGAAACTGTCATCACTGATTTTTCTTATATACTAATACTCACATTTTAGTTTCTTCTACTTCAAAAACTGCAGTTACTCACTTTCAATAAAACCTTTTTCTGTCTCTCTACATGTATCTGTCTCTTTAAGCATGGCAAGCTCTACCTTTAAGGACTTTGAACTTGCATCTGCGCAGCAACGACCAGACTCAGTTCTCCGTCGCAGACGCAGACAAAAGCAGGCTGCACTGGAGAGCTCAGGAGTGAGCTCTGTAGTTGCAGTGGCCCAACCTTCAGCAGCACGGCGGTTTGTTCGACTTGCAGTCATGGGTCTCACAGTGGCTTTAGGGGCAGCAGCTCTTGCTGTGGTCAATACTGCTCTTGAGTGGGCCCCCAAGCTAGACTTATTTCCTTGAACTGCTTTTCTTTTACACCAACACTCCATGTATTCTGTCCTCTAATAAATCAAGCTGGTGGGTCTGCTATCAAGAACCCTTTAATGGTTTAAACCACAAACCGCGGAGTCGGCAACACTGTCTGGGTGCACTCTCTAAAGTCGAGGATGTCTTTCTACTCTGTGTAGGGTTTGTCAAGCCTTTTTGCTTTGTAATTCCTGAATAGGCACCAGTGTAAATGCTGCTGTTGTTCTGAATTGAAGAATATAATGAAGAGACTATGTATAAGAACCATTATTGATGGTCATCACGAAAGCTTATTTATATTTAGTATTAAAATAATTTGAAGGCATTATCCTCACAGGGATTTGCAGAAAACTTGGCAGACTCACTACATTTGAAACTGCTGCCAATTACGAGCGCCTGAGTGAATGTGTGTGTTTGTGTGTGTAGTTGAGTGTGTGCGCAGTCACAAACCATTTGTAATCTATTTGATACCTGGACCAAATAGGGAATTCCTGAATTCTCGCTTTGTAAAATTTACTGTTTGTTAATTTTAAGGTAAGTAACTGTATAGAAACATGACACGCAGGCACTTTAAGGGTCACCATTTCATTATTTTTAGATCATTTTGTGTATTTCATTAGTTATGTTTAACCCTTTCAGTAAGCGTATAAAGGTATCTTCTCTAAAGGACCGAGTATCTTTAACACATCAGCAGCTGTTACCCATGACTTGGTTAAATGAAACTGGTCTTACAAAAGTAAATACATTGTAGCTTACTTGAAGTTTTTGTTTGCCTAAACATATATTTGAGAATATGCCCTCGCAATAGAATATAGCTTTCATCGCCCAGGAAAATAGTATAAGAGTAGCTAAGTGATAACTTTTAAGTTATTTAATGCTTGCACACACACACACACACCTGAAAATGAGTTTGTGTTTTGTGTACCCAAATAACTAGTTTATGTAAAAAAAAAAAAAAATTCTAGAGAAGATGGTCATATCCTAATAGTTCCCACAATATGGTCATTCACCAAATGCCTAGTAACCGTAAATATCAGAGGTGGAATAAGTAAAATTAAGTGGATATTGTTGTCTTCTTATTAGCAGTATAGCAGACCTGGCTTGTACTGACTGCATTAGTTTTGTAAAATCACTTTGATTTGATAGTTGCTTTTACTCAGTTTGTTTGGAAGGGTGCTCCTTTTAGAGAAGTGCCTGGGCCTTCATATTAATTCTGTCTAATATTTTAGATTTATACGTGATTTTTTTTGCTTGATTTAAGCAGATCCTCCTTTGTAAAGTGATTTGAGTGTAGAATTGGTCCACGGTACCAGATTGTTCCAGTCATTGACATTAAAATCACATCCTTAAATAAGAGATTTCATTTTAATAGGGTTTCGTTTATTGTCAGTCATTTGAAAACCCACAGTTCTTGTTTCAAATATCAGCCTTGAGTTCTTGCCCCCTACCGGGACACAGAACTGGTAGTCCTCTAAAAACTTCTTAATTGGGTGAAACTCATCAAAGTGATTTTATTTGATGCTTTTTTTCCTATGTGAAGATGAAGGCTTGATGCTCCAGTGCTGTGCTGTGTTTGATTGGTTTATTGGCCTTGTATTGAGCCTCTCATTCAGCTGGTAAGGGATCTGCAAACTGACTGAAATGAAGGTGACTGGCACATGTCCAAGGATGCTCTTATGCTCCTAAGAGCTTAGTTGTTGAGCATTGTAATGCAGGACGTATCTGCACTCAGCGGTGTTCATTTATTTTCATTGCACTAAATGATTTATCTGCCTTTTATGTTTATTTTTGTTACTATTCGACTGTCTACTAATGTAAAGTTGTACAAGAGAATGCTAATAAACTAGAGTGAAAAGGTTTTATGCATTTGGATTCAGGCTTACGTTTTTATTCAGAATATTTTCTATGACTATATAGTGTGTTTTTCAGGATTTCTCAAATTCAGGTTTTAGCTGCCCTCTGACGGCTTCTGCTAGACCACATTAGCCTCAATTGTCCTTTGTGACTTCAGTTCCTTAGGATTCTTAACATATTTAGATTAGTGCTATGGTTCTAATAAGAAATAATAATTAAGGATACAGAAGATGACAAAGTTGAACATCGTCAGATGCTTGAGCTGATCTTAAGCTCATTTTTAAAATCTGTTTAGATATACAGTTACATCATAATGTCCATATTTAAAATACATGGTGCTTCATGACTCAAGACATAGAATGTAAAGCCTAACAACAAGCTTTAATGCAACATCACATATAATTTATGTGTAGTAATTTAGTTCCTGTAATTCTTTAGGAATTAATACAGGAATTAGTTGCAGAGAAAGACATTATACACATGATACTTTATAGCCATTAAGTGCATTAGAGCAATCTGTTTTTCATTATGAGTACATTCATTCAATGTAAACAAAAAAAAGTCTGATTTGTCGACTGAACAATCCCATAACCAGCCATTTATTTTAATAACATATCAAACAAAAACAGTAACTTTAAACAGAAAGTGCTGACCATTTATATTGGTAAGACCTTAATAGTACTTATAACCACAACTGCCCTGGTGTTTGATAGATAAAATTCTTAGTTGTAAAATAAATTAATGAAAAATATTGCTATTTATCATCAGACTTTATAGACAAAATAAACAAGAAAGCCCTTATCATGCACCGTCATCTTTGGAGTGCTAATATTATATACTGTATAAGCACAAAGACCTTTTGCATCTTTGTTCAGAAAAGTAAAATGTTACCTCAGTATGCGTGTTCTGATAAATTCTGAGTCGAATCCAAACTCAAGTAAATAGTATCACAATTGGCTCATTGAACTAGAAGAAAGCAATAGCTAGAGATAAGAAGGTATTGTGGCAAAAAAAACTCCAAGTATAACTGTTTTCCCCCTCACACTGTACTAACAACAGTTTTTAATACACCTGGATGCATTGCAAGCAAGATAGATGATGAGTTTTGTCCATATACCAGTGAAAGAGAGGGTGAAATAAATCAAACTACCATTAAATCGGAGATCTGAGCACGAGATGTGGTTTGAATTTATCCAGACAGTGTAATCGCTTTCACTGGAGGTTCTAATATGAGTTCATTAGTGTTCTTCCCTCAGTGACAGTTTTGGCAGTTAGGATGACAGGGCTGATTATTGACTCGACATCTACATCCACCAGTTATGTCACCGCTGCCCTGTAAAAAAGAAAAGAAAGAAATGAGAACCATGTCTCAGAAACACAATAGAGAAACCTTTCTGAATATGTTTATCTATCTTAATGCATATATATTTACATTTGGGCCCCATCGAGCTTGTTTAGTGACCCAACAGATTTCTGTTTTGCACATCAAGCAGCAGATCCAGTCACATCCATCTTTTTTCTGGACAATGATGTCACACCGTGGGCATTTCATGGCTTCCCCATTCTGCAGCAGGCTCTGTAGTTGAATACAGTGAAACAGTGTGAAGTAGCCATAGAGGAAAATGCCTGAGAGGGTGATTTTAAAAAGTACAGAAAAACATCAACATAATACAATTTATCCACTTGACTCAAAATCTGAATATAATATGATCTAACTTTGCTGTATTCCATAAAGTAAAGCCCCGTATCAATCCAATGCCTAAATCCTTGCCATAGCCTGCATATAAAAGATGGACCTAGCCACTGCATGCAACTAAACAGAGCAGATACATTTACAGCATGTGTTGAATACCACAAGGTTATTAGACAGAAGGTGTTAAGAGCGCAACAGATCACCACAGCCCTTGTTTCCGCCACAGAGAAACAAAGGCTTCCCAAAGCTTGCTTCACCCTTAATAATGACACTAGTCTAAGATACACCTGAGGATTTGGAAACTGCCTCCTTAAGCAGCCATTAATGAAAGAACATTTAATTGTAAAAAAAAAATGACTGATTGTTCTATGATTTATTTTACAGGGTTAAGATTCTACAAAATTGCCTATTTGCTTTATTTCACTCTGGATAAGAGAAAAATTATAGTCCTTGATAAGAGACAATGTATTATTTTGTTTGTAATGTCATTTGTGTTCTGCTTCTTGATCCACATTGCTTTGCTTTGCCAGCATTCATAGATTTTCACTGTTCAGGGTAATTAACAAAGCACTTTAAAGTTGACTTACCTCCAGCATCTGTTTAGTTTTCTGAGCTGCTTCATCATTCTCTGCTCTTACACGCAGGTCATCCTGGTAGTCCTTGCAATTCATGTCTTTGTGGATGGCCTGAAAAAATATACGTCCTTTACATCTGGTGCCCTCTCTATTACACGAAATAAAACTTTGTTCAGTTAAGGTATTAACGTAACAAAGGTACCCTGCAGAGAATGCAGTTGGTTTCGTCGCAGAGTTCACAGTGAAATTCATTGACTTCATCCTCATAGATGCACCACCCACGACAGTTGGGAGTCTGACAGTGGAAGCTGTGCTCTGAGCGGCTCTCTGCAATGCTCAGACGCAACTCCAGAAACCGCTGGTGTTCCTCTTCCGTGAGCAGCTGGACCCAGGATTATACCATAAACAATAACAGAGACATATGAAGAGTAAGAGATTACATACTGTGTGGCTGTCAACATATTTGCTTCTCTTAAAGTTATTGTCTGTGTTATTTTTTGGGAAAGGTGATGTATGACTGTCAAACATAGACCATGTGAAGGTTAAGGTTGTGTCCCCATGGCTTACACTCACCTCTTTGATCTCTCGGTCCAGTAATTTGCTGTCACAGTTGTCAGGACAGGACACCTCAGCATCTTGACTGTTTACTATTGTCCCTTTTAGACACTCCCTGAGTAATCACATACACGTCATTATATACATAAAATATTAAGCACAATGCACATTTTGCATACACTGACTCTTATTATTCAAAACGAGCATACATATGAAACACTGCATATGCATAAAGTTGATATACACAAAAGAAATGACACATGTACCATAGTTAAAATTATAGGAGAAGAAGGTGTTTCGGGTCTAAAACAAGACTTGCACCAAGACATGGTTCAAAAAGATGCTTGAGGGGTACAGAATAAATTAGCTAAAGATTTAAATCCCACTGAAATGTTGTGAGTGAACCAGGCAGTACATGCAAGAAAACTCACCACTGTAGCCCATCTTGCCGAGCTGGCAGCCCATATGAGAAAGACTATTGCAGGGGCCTAGTTCTCCCCCAGACCATTTCCTGCATATTTCCCCTCTGACTCATACTACTAAAATGCCAAATCTTTTCTGTTTTGTTTTGTTTTTAAATAAAGGCTCTTTTTCAAAAGTCAGTTGTAAGTCAAGTGTGTCATGTAACTGCACTGTACAGTTAGTAGTAACAGTAGTAAATGCAATGGCTAGATTTGTACTGCGAATACAGGCATCAAATTGATGATGACATTAGATGCACTTTGGTAAAGGATGTTATTGCGAAGGTCTAGCAGCAGGGAAGTTGGGATATGGTATGGGTGGTGTAAAGGTCAATGTTAGCTAATCAGAAAGTGACCAAGAAAGCAGACAGAATTTGATCATTTTTCTGTCATGTTACAAAGCTATTTTCTGTCATACCTGCAGAAGGTATGGAGACATTCTCTGAGCACGATGCCCTCTCCTGGCTGCAGATTACTGAAGCAAATTGGACAATCTGCCTCGTTGGCATTTGAGATAAGGTTCTGTTCTTCTGTTGCCAACAAGTGCAAATAGTTCTCTTCTCGTTCCATCCGCTGAGCCTTTATCACAGAGTAGCATGCGCAGCAGAGGTTCAGATAAACTGCATGACTCATTACAAACATAGTAATTTAGCTTTTCCCGAAGATAGAAAGTGAAAGCTGAGAAGTTTTATTGTGGCCTGAAAGTCAGCTCTCATTATTCTTTAATGGTAATGTGTGGCAAATCATCTAGGAACAATGTGTAGTTTAAAATGTGGAATTTAAACAAAAAAGTGACACAAAAACAAGATTTAATGAGTTAATTAAACTGATGGTTTTTCTCTTTCTTTCTGTCTGTTTCTTTTATAACAAATATACCGATGTTTTAATATAAACATTAAATTTTTCTTTAAAACCTGTCAAGCACAAATCTTATTTCCTATAATATTTCAGGTTTTCCCATGACCCCAGGTGATTAGGGTTATTTCACACATAAATGTGAGACCGTGTTAAAAGGATTTAATTTTAGCTGTTTTTTAACAAGCAGCACTTTTACCTGTTCGTACTGCATCATGGCAAGTGTTTCCTGCTGGATCCTCTTAATCTCCTCCTCATCTGGCTGGTAGATGTCAGGCACAGTGTATTCTGCTGGCCGTTCCCCTCCGCACATCTCACAGCCAGGACGTGTTGGCTTGTTCAGATATGTACACACTGAACAGGCCCATCCCAACTGCATGCACAAAGACATACAATATGTTTACACATCTCTAAAACATGCACTACTGTATTTAAACAATTATATGTGCAGGCCCATTGCTAAAGCAGGGTCTAGTTGTGTTCTGACCTGAGGTTTAGGTGCCACAGGAGGCTTGGGTACAGTAGCAGTTTGGTCTCTAGGAGGAAGAGGAGGAGGAACTATCTTCTCACCACCACCTCCATCCAGACCTCTGGGAAACAGCTGCAGTGATTGCATCGACTCCATGATACCTAATAATATATTTTAATTGTATAAAACTTCAGTGTTATTAAACATCAATACGGCATACTTTGCTGTCTGTATTTATCATAGCCAAAGCACTTCTTATCGTTCAAAAGGTAAGACAACTGTTTACTACTTACCATCTATACGTTGTTGCTCCTGGTCCAGGTTGTGCTGATGCCGTGTGAGATGAGCAGCATGGGCAGACCTGATAAACAGGAAAGCCTGGTCTCCACTATTTCGAATCCCATGGCTATATAATGTTTCCTGGTCCTGAGCTAGCCGCTTCCCAATCACCCAGCGCTGCAGCAGAGGGTGGAACCCAAAATCTTGGCTGATCTTTGAATATAAAAGAAAAGAAAAAGTAACTCGTCCACTGGAATTTCAATGTGGCTTAACAAAATGCAGTGAAACTTTAAAGACAATAATATAAGCCAGCTGGTGTACTACCATTTCCTAAAGGGTAATAAACACTTTAATGCATAGAAGACATCAAGAATGGTCAGGAGGGTTTTGATCTCTTGTAGCACTGTGGGGCTGTTTTTGTATGAATCGGTGCACAACTTTGCTACTGTGTGTATGTGGTAAGGTTACTATAGTTAACTAACACCAAACTGAAAACTAAAACTAGATGTGAAAAAACTTTTACTTAACTAACATTTAAAAAAAATAATACATACTAGACTTTGGAAAAATAAAACCAACTGAAATGATTTTGTGAACTTGGAACATGAACTCAAATGAAATAAAAAATAGAAGAGAGGAAACATCCTTAGTTTTAGTATTTATTCGTTTGGTAAAAATGTCACGGCCAGGCGGATCAGCTGCACGCTGATCAGCTCTCTCTCTCTCTCTCTCTCTCGCCGGCGCGAAACTCACTGTGGGTTCACGCCCTTGGCCCAGGCCCTCGACAGATAAGACACCTGGGTCTCATTAAGACGATCAGCAGTTAAACCAGGAGGCGACTGCTGTTCATCGCTGGATCGTTGTCTACCATGCGTTAGTGAAGCCAAGCTACAGCAAGTCTAGTTAAGAGTATTTTCCTTTGTGTGTCGTACTTAACCCTGACTCCCTGCCTACAGAGCTTCCTGGATTTTCCCCTGTGTGATTTCTGTGTGGCAGTGTCGGAGTGTGAGCCTGTGATCGTGTGTGTGGATGATCTGAAGAACGCGTGCTTCCCCCCTGGACTTCCCTGGAGACCCCTTCTTCCCTCACTCAACTGTATATAGCACCCCCCGCACCTTCTTGTATATACACCAGGTGAATTGTAAATAAATCCTTCTTGTGAGCATCAGAACCGGAGTCCTGCGCTTGAGTCCTCCTCCAAACCGTAACAAAAAATTTGTTATCACAGCTTGGCTGAGGAGACTTTGATGAAGATGTTTATTAAGACTTTGGATATCTACAAGAATGAGTCAACTGTTTGAAAAACGTTTTGTGTTTTTAAGGTAATAGGATACTTACAATCTTTATAATACTTATAATGACTTTCCTAACTTTTACCTTTAGTGTATACGTGCTAGACAATAAAACAGTAAAACTAACAGTGAAACTTCTAAAAACAAGACTAAAATTGAAATGAGCAAACTCACTTTGGACACGAAGTCTGAAATAAAGCTGAATTTAAAATAAAAATAGAAAAGACTGCTTGCTGATAAACACTGATATAAACAATACTGAATTGCATTTAGGGGCAAGGCTTTACTGACAAATGATACACTCCATGATACACTCACTGCATTATTATGAGTGGTGCATAAACATTTTTGGTTACAAGAAAACTTCACAAGTAGCCTTTAATAGATCATAGCTCAGCTCCATTTTAGGTTTTATATGTATAATGTATCATAGGTTGGTAAGAAAATATTTACGTAAAAAATAATAATAATAAAAGAACAGAAGAAAATTGCCTCTTGTGTTGCGTGTGCTTTCACATCAGTACCTTGTCTTTTAATTGTGCGATTGTCATGCCAGTAGCAACCTCAAGAATCACAGGGATATTGTCTTCTGACTGTCCATCCTCCACTCCAACCTTCAACCTGTAGAACAGGAACAACAGAACATGTCAGCCCTCTACTATTTTCACTTGAACATTCATGTCCATTCATTCGTGTTCTTATTTTGGTATTTCCAGCATGTAACCAGAGACAAACAGTCATATATGCATATGTTTTGTTTTTTTGGCACTTGGCCTTAATTCTTGTTTACATTGCATGCTTCCAAATTAAAACAGAGCCCATCTAAAAATCAAAAGGGGAACTCTTCCCCCATAAACAGCAGCGTCTGTGGTATTACTGTCATGGAGGCATTTTAAGAAACAGGGAAGTACACACAGGCATATCCCCACACACTGCTGTGTCCCACCTTATGGATTCCTGGGGGTAGATCTGACTGTTGATGTTGACTGACACCCCGACGGAGAGCTGAGTCAGCCTCTGGCACAGTTTAGCTGCTTCTTCAGAGTCCCCGCTGCTGAGGGCTTCAGTCAGAGACCGGGCAAGCTCCTCCGCTTCATCGCGAGCAAAGGAAGAGGGGCGTCACGTGACTTATTGTCAGCATAACTCGTTTTTCTTTAATTCTTCGTATTATCAATTGATTGCTTTCTATCCTCTATGCCAACATACACGTACGTAGCAATGGTAAATGAACATTACGAATTGATAGTGGCTTGTCTGTTGATTTTGACAATATAAAGCGTTGAGTCTTACCAAAACAACAGTGACACTTTCACAATCTCTACACTAAGAAATCGATAGTAAGCAGTGACACACACAAAACGCTTTCTGTTTTACTAGGACAGCTCCGAGATCTTATAAAACGTAGTTGTCAAGAAGTATTTGGAGTCTTCATAACAAAATCGAAAGTTAATTGAGCTGCTTACCCTCAGTCAGATCGACCCTCGGTGCCACCTCTGAAGCCATTACTACACGGGAGGTAATAAAATTATTAAGCTGCTTGGCAGCTGTAACGAAACACAGCTGCCTTTAAAACTATTTCAGGCACTACTTCCTCAGTCCTCATCCGACAGAGACTTTCCAAGTTCGTCTTAAGGTTAAGAAAGGCAGCTATAGGGCCAAAGAGAGCCAAGTAGAAGTCAGAAGTACCACTCTAGCGTCGCTTTCTCACTTCTCAGTCCCTGTCAGGTAGAACGGAAAGTGAAACTGACTCACGCCCAGGAAGAGATATTTTTAAAGGATCGCTTTGGAATTTCTTTCGCTCCACCCCTCGTTGACACTTTTTGTTCCTATCTAAATCAGTGAAATGCATTATTGTAAAACTAAAAACCACACGAATAAGTCCAAAAATAAATAACAGCCGATGCATGAAATCTAGTTATACATTCACCCCCTTTAAAAACAACAACAACAAAAAAACCCATCTGAAATAGTGACTTCTCGCATCCAGCAGATGGCAGTGTATGTCAAAGGCTGAACTCATTTTAACATTCAGGTTTTACAACTTTGGACCTAATATTTAATTCAGATTAATTACATTCGCTGTATATTTAACTCAAGAACAACGGAAGCCCTTTAAAATAAGCCCCCTTTTTTTATCAGTATTAACATCTCTGGCGATGAATGAGCACTCCGAGGGCAAGTTGGTCGTATATTGCAGCTCTAGTTTTAATAGTGTGTCTTTGCGTTCAAACCGAAAAAATAAAAAGATATACAAAGGGTTATGGGAAGATAAGAAGCTTTAGTGATGATCAGTTTAATCCAGATGCTGATAAACGAGCCAATCACAGCGGCTCCAGCAGGAGGGGCTGGCGGGTCTGTTCAGCTGCGCACCACAAAGTTGCAGAGCGTCCCCGAGTCCCCGCCTGCCTGCTTGCACTTGTCATCTCTCGCACCTGGAGCCCTAATCTCGTCCATAGCAACATCTTCATTTTACTTTAGCCTTCTAGACTTCAACAGTTTGATTTAGACGTGTTTCGTTGCGGTCGAAGATGCTGGCTTGTACAGAGATGATTACTATGTGCCTGCAGTCGGCCAAACAGAAGCATCTTCGGGCTCAGCAGCAACAGCAGCCGCCGCACAATGCCGGACAGGGGCTTACTATTTTTCATGATGTGAGTGGATCCGCTCTCTTACTCATGTATTAGTGTTACTGATGCAACACATTGTTGACGCTTTTGCTTTTCATTCATTTTTCTTGTATTTCTATATTAACTGTAAATCTAAATATATTCATTGTTCAAATAATATTAGATTGAATGAAAAAAAAAAAGAAAAAAGAAAAGAAAAGATCTGGTCTGAGTTGATATAGTGCTGCAAATTTAAATGTTTTTTCTCTCTCCCTCTTATTTACTTATTACTTTCTAGAGAATTTAGTGGAAATGAAAACTGCATCGTTACAGTATTGTTTATCAGATGTTGTGTGGTGTGCTCCTCGCCATGTACGCGCGTGTGCGTAGGAAAGTAGGAAAAGCTGCAGCTGCAGCTGCTGTCTCTGCATGATAAATTAAGCCCCCAGTCTGACAGGTTTAGGGACTGCTGGGGGTTCTCCTCTTTTTGTTACGCACAGATGCAAACACTTCTGGGCTTTCAGAGGCAATACGTGCATAACAGTGAACCTATTCAATATATATGTATTAAACAAACAAACAAACTAAGTGATCAACTCAAAAATGGTGCTATGATTTATAATGCGCAGCTTACCCTAAGTTGTGCTCAAAACAGTAACAGCCTTATTAACCTGCAATGCTGCCATAGAAACCACCATCCAGCTTGTCATCTTGTTAGAGGTTAGCAGACCAGTGATGTTTCCAAATCTGAGCTCTCACTAGCTTGAAGCTTTCCATTTCCCTTTGACTACAACCTTGTGTAGACAAGGACATTACTTTTGCAGAAATGTCTATTTAAAAGTGTGCACTGTCCCTGAATGGGGTATGTGATTGAAGTGCTTCTCATATTCAGTCTTCGGCCTTGAGCTTTTCTGTTGACTGAGCACTAACACACAAAAAAGACCATTCAGCTTGACGGTTCTATGCTCAAAATATAATTATGCTTAAATTGTTTAAAACACTGTGTGTAGGAGACAGTACTGAATACAATAATGATCAGTCTCAGTCAGAAACGGACATGCTGTCTTGAATTTAAGTGCCATGTTGCTCTGTGCATTGCATTTTTCTCCTCATTCTTTCTTTTTATTGCTCTCCACCTTTATTTGGTGCAGAAGCACCATGTTCCAAGACTGGAAACATTCCTAGCTGTAGATTGACCAAATATTCCCCTGGGACAGCTGAGAGATTTTAAGAATTTTAATCTCTTGTGTTGGTTTGACATTTCCATTAGTACAGGTTTAAGTCTGCATAAAGATTTTGTGTTCCTAAAGTAAAAGCGAGTAATGTGAATCCTTTGTTATTGCAGTGCTACCTACTGATTTTCAAGTGGTTACGAGACATACACAACAGAATGACAGGGGATTAATGACTAAATGCTAATTGATTCAGAACATTTTGTAATTGTTTGTAACAATTAAACTGATTTATTATAAAAGCACATTGCTTGGTTTTGCATGCAACATATAAGCTTTAATTTGCAGACAGATCTGCACATCAGTGCATCAATTGCAGGATACTGAGCCAGTCACTAACATTAGAGATGCAAAGATTGCAACAAATCAAAGAAAAAGCAAACCTTTAAAAGTGACTGATTGTGCTAGGGTTGTATGAGGCTGTTTCATCATTTACATTGTTGGCTACTCTTCTTAGAGTCTTTGTTTTGTGAATGCAGCAGGCCTGCTTTTCTTAGGCTTTCTTGATTCCTGGCACTTATTTCTGCTTCTTCTCTTCTTTTGCTGCTACTGAGAAAGAAAAATATAATATTTTGGATTGTCACAGAAAGTAAATCATCTGGCATTTACTAACAACAAAGCATATTTATTAGGGTTTTTTTGGTGATGTTATGTCTTTTTTATTAAGCATCGCACCAAGTGGTGTGAAAGCAGAGCCTGAGATAACCCACCGTCTTAATACCCTCCACCATGACATCAGAACAGCAACACAATGGGAAGCAGGTCTGACCTTTCCTGGGCTTGCTGTAAATGATGCATTATCGTCTCCTGACACCGGAGAGTCAAAAGCCACAGCCAAACAACAAACACATTTAACGCTATACCTGATCTTCCTGGAATAGAGGAGGAGTGGAAAATGTTGGCTAGATGGGTCACAGTGCCAAAGTGAAAAAGAACAAGCTGCTGACTGAGATTGTGCAGTGACAGAACCCTAAAGCCGGTACAACATCAAATTTGTATTCATGTAAGATAAGTAGAGTGTTCTGATTGTCCTTTCTATGTGCAATCCAAGTGCAATGTTGCTTTTAATAGGATGAAGAATCAAAAATAGAGCAGCCAGTGTTTCGTGAAGTGAGTCGTTATGACCCGGCTCTTGTTATAAGTCAGGATTGAAGCAGTGGAGAGACAGACAGACACACTGAGGGCACAAGTGCAAACCTTGAGCTTGTTGACCTATAGCAAATTAAAACGAGGACCAGATTCTGCAGGATTAATAAACTGTAGGTCAAAACCAATGAGCACGGCAGTTGTGCTGCTTAACACTGGACATAAATGTCTCAGGGAGTGAAAGAGAATCAATAAAAGAGAACAAATTACGAATCTGTTGTTTTCATTGCAGATCTTGCATTCAAACTCGCTTAATGAAGCTATTGTTTTCTGCTCCCCTGAATGACAACCAAGCTGCATACAGCTACAAATGCACATATATGTTTGTTTGTGTGGCTGCATTAATATTTGTGAAATTCTTATTATAGTGCACAGATTAAACTAAAATTGGTTTAAAAATCTAAGTTTCATGTTCATATTTTCAAGAAACACATCTCAGTGCACAGTAGACTTGAGTTTTATTTGATTGTGTATTCAAACGCTTTGAAAAATATATTTAGCCTTCACAATAGTTACTTTAGTCGCTGTGTTGTGGCTGTGATCTTTAAATCTAGATCTAAAGCCCTGTTTTACCGCTGTTATTTATTGATGGTGTGTTGGTATAGCTTTCTGTTTTGCTTCTATTTTATGTTGTTTGGTGAAGCCAAACAGTCCACTTTCTATTTTCTGGACAATAATGTTTTCACTGAGCTAAAGAAAAAAAAAAATGAAACAAGTAGATTTTTACATGTTGACCAAAAAGCAACTCTTTTTCTCAAAGCAGTCGCACAGGCTTTACAGGATCAACTCTGAGCTTTATCCTGTTGTGCGGACATTTGTCTTTTGCGTGTCAGAAAACAAATGGCTTTCCTCAGTTTTAGTGATTTTTCTACTTTTAGTGAATAATCTATACTGTTGATTTTATCTGATGGGTGTTTTTTTCAGCTTGAGAAGTGGGCTTTTTATAAGTTGCCATTACTGGTGGTTCAAAACTCAGCTAAAAACAAGAAGATTCTATCTTTTTTTAAACTCCATAACAATTATAACAGTAACTACTATCAAACACAGACCAGTTATATATATATATA